TTTACACTGCTTTTTCGTATTTTATTATAATTATTTCTAGTTATTTAATTAATTTTTTTCAATTTTTTCGGAAATTCAAATGTTTAATAACAAATTTTCAGCAAACTTGCCATTTAGAATAAAGCTTTTTGAACGTAATTCCTTTAAACATCTAGTTTTAGAATCTATACAAGCAAAAATTTATACTTATATATATACATATATATAAATTTGGGCACTTCCCTGAACAATAAATAACAAAAAAATGTAATTTTCTTCTGTTTAACTTGTTGCAATATTTATAACAGGAAAAACAACAACATACAGTAGCAACTAATTTAAGTAAGAAATGTAACTTTTATTTCATTTTGTTTAAGCTGAGCTAAGTTAAGTTAAGTTAAGCAAAAAATTCAGTAGACACTTTGTTAAAAATTAATTGCTATCAAGTTGTGCAACATTTGAATGTCATATATTTGTGCTTCAACATATACTCACACACACACTTACACAAACACACACACACACACTCCTACATGGCAGTTAGTTAAGCCAGTAGTCAGAGTTAACTAGAGAAACTTGGATTAGCCACACTTGAGCAATGTTGGAGTGTGTTGGGAATGCACTTTTGTGAAAAAGCACAGAAGCAGAAAAATTTCAACAATAGTCATATTGCAAATTCTTAAGAACTTTTGCCACTCTTATAGCAAACAAACGCACAAACTCAAATCTACATATGTAGGTTTGCAAAAGGCTTGAGGTGGGCGTGGTGGCATGACTTCACTGAGGAATAAAAAATAAATAAACAAACGCAGAACATGCATAGCTATAGAGTGGAGTATATATGTATACACATACATATATGTATATAATAAAATGTAAGCAATTATATTTGTCGTAGGTAAGTATATATTTTGAAATATTTATACTTGAATATAGGTATACGTGCATGTGCATTTGGCGTAGTAAATGTAATAAGTAAGTAAATACGAGAGATCTTGGAAGACATTATGCTCAAACGATTTAAAAATGGAATTTACATATGTGTAACATGTTCGTTCTGATTCATAGAAGAAGATTCATGACTCTAGTAAGTAGGGTAGTGCAAATTTCGATCGCTTTAAGAACTAAAAATTCGATGGACTTATATTTTAGAAAGACTTACCATGGAGTACGACTAAAACTTAATCCATTACTGTGCTCGCAGAGATTTGATTCTTGGAGGGTGTATTCTGCTTATGGTATATGCCCATATCCCAAGTGAAATAATCTTGCTACGGAGTGGACCTGAGACCGATTTATTAGAAAACAAATAAAGCTCATTTCTCAATCATTTATTTTACATTAAATTTGGTGCAGAGGTAACATCCGGCCTTTACTCACATTGCACATTGGGGACACTTTTTCATCCGGAAAGCGGGGCTGGTATCAATGTAGAAAAAAATCGAAGAATAAATAAATCGAAGTAAAAAAATGTTAACAAATATCATAAAATTTCTGCGCTCAGAATAAAATTTCCAACTGTGCTTGGCCTAAGCAGGCAGCCAACAAACTCAGCGGGCAGCTTCACCAACTGTGATTATGTAACTGCAGGTATGACTTGGTTTATATTTGAACATGTAAGCCCATGTATGTATGACAACTTCATAGTTAAACTTGCAAAAACAAAAATCTCGCAAAGCAATAATTTAAGATCTATACAATATTAACGGGAAGTGTTTCAAAAAAATTATGATTTTTTAACATAAATCTGCTGGTATGAGTTTATTTAAAAATTATAAATTTAAACATAATTTATTTAGTATTTTTTCCTATTTAACATTTTGATTTCTTTTTTGCACGGCGAATTTTGCAAACTGGCGCTAATGTAATTTAAAAGTATTTTGCCTAATTTTGAATCCAAAAATAATTAAATTAAATTTTCATTTTCCTAGCTTTAAGTTAACCAAAAAGCTTGTAAAAATTTGAAATAAATTATTCAAAATATTTTTTTTTTAATTTTTTTTGCAAATTTTTAAAAAAAGAGTTTTATAGAAAAATTTTTTAGCGCAAGATTTTAATTTAATTAAAAGACACTTTTTTATTTAATAAATTGGGTGCAAATTTTATGTAATTTATTTAGTTAAAATGCATTCAATTTTGGTCAGTAGTGTAACTCTGTATGTAGGTATATTAGTCAAGTAAGAAGTTCGTTCGATTTTTATCTAAGAGATGGCGTGTCCATGGTATGCCATATACGGCGCTGAAAACGTGCTTATTTGCGCTAAAAGTTTATCTTTGGCAGTTTTTCGATTGATTGACTCAGTACGTTGTGAGCGCTCGCCAAAGATGGACACCAGCAAAGAGAGAATTCGCTATATTTTAAAATTTTTCTTCGATCAAAACGAAAAAGCGGCAAAAGCGGCTAAAAAAATTGATTTATTTTATGGGTCCGATACTGTAAACGAACGTATAGCTCAAAAGTGATTTGCTAGGTAAATTCGATGTCGACTATGCAATAAGTTTTGCTGTTTATTTGGTGGGATTGGCAAGGAATCATTTACTACGAGCTGCTCCCCTATGGCCAACGCTCAATGCGCTCAACCGCTTGAAGGCAGCACTCATCCAGAAGATGCCATATTTGATCAACAGAGGTCGAATTGTTTTCCATCAGGACAACGCCAGGCCACACACGTTTTTGGTGACGTGCCAGAATCTCCAGGAGCTCGTATGGGAAGTACTAATGCACCCACTTCATAGAGCGGATCTGGCACCAAGTGATTACCATCTTTTGCTGTGCATGGCGAGCACGCTTAATGGTGAGAAGTTGGCCTCCAGAGAGGCTTGTGATAATTGGCTCCCCGAGTTTTCTCCCAATAGGGGCGCAGCCTTCCACGAGAGGGGTATAATGAAGTTGGCATCTCAGATTGGCGCATATTTGACCTAAATCGGACAAATGTACACAAAGTTATCATATTTTGAAAAACCTGTAAAAAAAAACCGAACGAACTTTTTACTTTACCTAATATTTACATATGTATGTTTGCGTTTCACAAAAATATTTTATATTTTGTTAAAATGAATGAAAAATGATTAACATCAGCATGTGGTCCGCATCACTTTACTCACACACAAATTTATATATTTATTTATATATATATAAACATTTATGCTTATATACAATACTTTACTTTGTACCACTTGAGTGCTTGCAGTAAACTATCAAATGCCAAGCAAATAAGAATGCAACCAGATAGGAGTGTATACGCATTTATTTGTACATATATATATATAAAACGTTAACGTATGTATAGGAAAGAATATGTATGTGTGTGTGTGTGTCTTTTTTCCATATATGTTTAACATTTCAACATAACACTTTACCACTACATATGCGTAAGCTCACTGAGTTTAGCCGCTGTTATTTTGTTTTTGGTATGCACACAGGCATATGCTGAAGCCCAAACTTGAAACTTTGATATATTTGCTAGAAAAAAAAAATAAAAATAAAATAAAATAAAAGCGCAACATTGCAAGAGCTTCTTCGGCTTTTTAGTATTTTATATTTCATTTTATTTATTTTGATTTATTCATACGTACATACATATATACATATTACTTACAATAATGTACATTCGTATGCGTGAGTGATGCCAACTCTTTTATTGTTGCATGCGGTTTACCCGTTGCAAAAGTGCAAAAGTTAATGCAACATTTTCAATTTCATCTACAATTACAAAGCAATTGGCCAACTATAGCACAAACAGCAATAGCAACAACAAAACACCAACAGCCAGTAGCCAGTGAAATGCAAACTCGGAAATTCTAAGAAATAGCAAGAACTATACATATTTAACTATTTACAAATATAATGTACACTAAATGTATTGTATGTAGGTAGTAAATTGTGTGTTTGTATGTAAGCACATTTCGGTGTGCATTTCTTTGTTAGAATTTAGTAATGCTTCAACGTAATGCTAATGCACATATAAATTTTTGGAAATTACTAACTACTTACATACATATATTTATATTTGTGCATACATACGTCCATATATATGAGTACATATGTCTGTACATACAGGGTTTTCCAATAAGAGGTGTTATTTTGATTGTCAAAGAAAAATGGCGTTTTTTGAGGTAAATGACCTGATGTGTATTTCAATGTGGAGAGGAAAATATGACATTAATAATGGAAAAGAATAACAGCCAAATGGTCATCATGGCTATGCTAACGGCAACGTATCCTTTTTATGAACTATTCCATCATCAAATCGTAAGATGGCTACCGTATGCCCTCAATAGCTTTGTCCTATTAGCGTAGACCTTGGTCCTAAAGGAGGAAAACGTAAGGCGTCACAAAATCTTATTAGGGCCAATCCCCTGTTCCAGCGATAAATCGGTACGGGAAATTTGGCCTCAAAAGATCGATCGATTTTGTTGGTTCAGCGACACTTAGTGCCGTCTTGTTGAAAATAAATGTTTTCCGCATCAATACCATCGAAATTCGACCATAAAAATTATTAATCATCTCTCGATAGCGCCATCAATTCACCGTAACTTTTGCTTCAGCCTCAGTTTCGGAAACCTGACCAAACAGTTACACCTTGAAGATGGAGAGGCTCTTTAACAATAAATCTCGGGTTTTCCGAGCTCCAGTTGCTACAGTTGGGCTTATTGACGTGGCCATCGATTGAGAAATTAGCTTGATCAGTCTACCGAAAATCATGGTGAAATTCCAAACTTTTTTCATCCATTTTAAGAGCCCAACCAGCAAAGACATGGCGTCGTTAACGATCGGCCGGCTTTAATTATTTTGTTAACTAAACTTTATGAGCCTCGTTTTTTTTTAAATTAGTCCGAGACCCGCTTTCCGGATAAAAAAGTGTCCCCAATAGTATTTTAGACCACCAAATTTAGTGTAGAACAAATAATTTAAAATTAAAATTGATTCTCTCCGAATAGATTTGTCCCAGGTCCACTTCCTACATATCATGCGTATATCTCATACGCAGAATACACCGTCCAAGAATCAAGTCTCGGCGTTCGGTGGCTTAGGCCGCATATATTTAGATTATTTTAATCACACTGGTCGATTAAGGTTTGGTGGTACTCCAAGATAAATCTTTCTAAAAAATAAGTCCATCGAATTTTAAGTTCTTAAAGCGGCCGAAATATGCACTACCCTAATTGCTTGAATCTTGAATCTCCTTCTTCTTTGTTGCTGTTGCGGCAACATGAATCATAATGAACCTATTACACATAGACTTGTAAAATCCATGTTTATTGCTTCGGTGAAAGGTGTTGTGTTAGCTGAACTTTATAAGTTTTGAGACTCAAAACGTTTGTGGAATGCCGAGTTAAAAAAAAAAAAATTGGCAAGCCTGGGTTTTTTCCAACACCCTGCATGGCAATATTCTCAGTTGTCCTTGAGTGATTAGCACGTGTTTTATTCTTCACAACACTGACTTGTCCAAGCTGCTCGATTTTTTTCACCAATTTCTGTATTTCAATCCGATGAGGTGCTTCACGAATCTTCTCAGCCAGGCTTACTCCACTTTTATAGTAAATTTTAATAATTTCAATGCACTGTTAAAGCTCCCATCGTTCCATTTTGTTTTTGCTTATCAAATTAAAAAAAAAGTACAGCATCAAAGGTGTGACATCTACCGGAAAATCACGCTAGTTAAAAGAACAACTCTTATTAGAAAACCCCTTATAATTTAATTTGTACGAGACACGGCACACATTCGTTTTATTGGCTTCAACTGAAATATGAGAAAAAAGTTTTTTGTACGAAATTATTAAGCAAACCTAAATTAATAATGAGCATTGCCAAAATTCACCGAATTGAATGAAGCTGGAGCTTTCAACAAAAAGCTTTCATGTATGGACATACAAAAATATGTAGAAATTTCAAAATTGAAATGCACACAAATTTTTAGAGACTTTTTTTTAGAAATAAAATTGTCAAAATAGCGAAAAGTTTTTAGGAAACTCCGTTTATATAATTTCTACAGAAGTAATTTTATTATGAAGTTTATTTAATTAACTAATGTAAGCTTTGGTGGACAAAGTTTTCACTACAAAATACAATATTTATTGTGTTATAAATGTTGTTGTTAAAATGGGTCTAATACAGAAAATATACAGCAAAAATCAAAGAACAAAAATCGCAATTTCCACTTTAATACTATCACTACACATGAACATTTTTTAAAAGACCTACCTAAAACAAACTGACCACATTGTGGTTGTACCGAATTCAATTTTATTCATATCCTCGACAACTGCTCAAACTCACAAGAAATAAGAAGTGAAATATTCGATAACTGTAAGCCATCTGATCATCTTAAGCTCCTAAGTAACGCGTTAGATGAAAACAACTGACTCCTACAGAGATTGAACGGAGAACACTCATGTTTCAGTGTTCCAATTCAAACGATAATGGATCGGTTGTTACAGGCAAAAGCAATTTTATCTAAGACGGATAATATCATAATAATGTCATCAATTGGGGGTGAGAGTCGTTTGAGAGTTTCAACCTTGACCATTTTCTCTATTCCTTGGCGAGCATTAATCTTTGCTGCATAGAAGTGGCTGCGTATTTTGTCTGCGACATATATTCCACCATCCTCAATATGTTCGATTTGATTTCGAGTCTTATAATCCCATAATAGCCAAGTAGTTTGATACCATTTTTTATTGTCGTTACAGATAACCCTATTTCGGGACCAGCAAAGTCCCTCAGTATAAGTCCTTAGAGAGATATCTTATCCTGGCAGCTAAATTTTCAGATAGTTATAGCAAAAATAACTGCTTTGCTGATTCTTGCAAGAAAAGTTGTCAAACATCATTTGGATGTCGTACGGAGGCAAGTGCGTTCACAGAAAAAATCTTTGGTCACATCTCCTTTGTCTATAGGGTCTTGGGTGCCGTTCGGTAAACTGTTACAGAATTAAAATTTGTTTTGAATGGAAAGACTCGGTGACTGAGTCTTTCTCCCAAGGACCTACTTGTTCCGACGCTCATAGTAATTATTGTATGGCCAAGATTGTAAGATTAAGCTTTCAAGGGTACAGCTGCCACCTGAGCAATCCAATTACTTGCCCTAAAGTTATAGTCCACAATATTTTGGCAGCAGCCATCATCGAATTTAGAAATTATCATCGAAGCATTTTTATTTTTTCAGTGCAACTGTTTTTCATGGATTGGGTCCGAGGCTCAGCATTGTCAGGAAAAGCGAGTATTAGTCGAGAAACATTTATTTAGCACACTTAATTAAGACTTATTTATTATATTTAATTAAGCTCGCTTGCGTTTAATCCTGTTCAATTACTGTTGTTCTGATACTCCAATATTAGAGCTATTCTTAAACTGAAAGGAAAAGTCATATCTTTCCTTTCCCCTTCAAACACCCTGGACTCCAGCAAATGTACCGTCTTTTGGCTTTGAGTACTTCCTCAAATATTTACTATCAAATAATTATCCTTCTTAGCTTAATCCATACCTGACTCTTCCGGACAACGATAACTGGTCACTATTTTTATGAGAACTTTTAGAAGGGTCACTACTCATTGAAATAAGAAGAAGAATTTGGCATGTTGCGCATTCGTATATACATTTCTTCGATAAAAATCGTTATGAATGATGAGGGCTACTGTTGTCGCGAAGTAGATCTTAGCTGGAAAGCATTAGTACCTCTAATTTTTAAAAATAAAATTTACCTGTTGAAATCATTTTTTCTTTTTAGTGAACTCAGATCTTCTCAATTACTAATCATTCATATTTTTGAATCAAAATTATAAACAACAGAAAATACTTTCAAAATTCAAAATTTTCATATCAAGCTGAATTAATTGGCCAAACTATCATCATTTTCCGCGCTTAAGCCGAGGGTTTGGGGAAATCGGCAGAGCTGCAAAAACCAAAAGCGTCACGAAGCTGCATTTTTAAGCAACATCTAACACCAAAAAAGCTCCACTCACTAACCGGCGGTACGCTAACCACAACCACAGGAAAAATACAATGCATATTCCATGCCCCATTAAGTTGGGTGAACCTGATAGCCGTGAAAATGACGCAGCTGCCTATTCCGCCTACACACGCGTACTCGCACAGGGGCTGCTAATGCTCACCTATCATTGGAATCGCAACAATTTGCCATCCGCATCACGTTTCCGACGCCAAGTAGCCGCACCTGGACCACAGACGCGTCACAACCCCCGTCCTAGCTCACCGCAAAGGCAAAAAAGCAACGGACGACGACTACTACAGCGAGGCCAACGAACAAAAATGCAACGAGTAAGAAACTGGTTACGCGCGAGTAAGCGAAATACAACTGAGCGGATACCGCAACCGCCACAAACGCCACAGCTAGAAGAGGTGCACGCAACGGTTGGCGATGGACCGAGAAATACGCGCTAAGGCAGCGGAAGATGAAGTAAAAACTAGTAGCGCAAGCAGTGAGTGTTTTGATGGAGTCTCTATGAGGGTGGTGGCTAACGAATATACCGAGAAGTATTTCAAGCGTACAAGCAAGCAGAAGAGCAGAGAAGTTTATAGCCAGTAAATGAGCTCAACCAGTCGTATGCGCAACCTTGTACTACAAGTGCACTGCAGTGAAAAAGTAGTTTGAGCATTCGTCGGCAAAACTGTAGATGAAAATGGAAATGACAAGAACACTACGCTAGGGAATAATGGATTCACTCTTGGCCGCTGCTCCCACATCCACATTAGCCGCTGCAACTACAAAAACCATAGTGTGAAGCAGTAATCCCGAATGGATTTGTGTGCCTAAAAAATTAGTTGCTCCATTCCATGCGCTTTTGACTTAAATGAAAGAAAAAATCGAATATCTCCCTCTTAAGCCTGCGTATGAAAGCAAGCTTTTATTTGGAATGAAAAACTTGTTTTGGAAAGTTTGATGTACCTAAAATATACCAGTAGTACCATATACAAATATTTTCAAGAAAAACTATAATTACTATAACTTTAACAATAAAAGAAAAAGCCTAACGCCAAATAAAATAAATAAATAAGTTTAAGTTTCCAATACCTGAGTGAAATTGAACTGACAGACGGACAGACTTAGAGTGATTATGCGATGCCTAGCGGCTGCGATGAAGTAATAGCTGCATTATAAGCAACACGGATTGCTAACAACACACCACTAACGAAATCCCTTTGCATTGGCTGCTTTAATTAAAAAAGATTCAAGCTTTTCTATGCAACTGAAAAACCATTGTCAGATTGATATCAACATACGCTGACATTTATGCACCGACAAATTCCTAAATATAGACAAATGGAACAGTCCTAATTTATTATTTTCTTTCTTTATAATATTTTTATTTTATTTTATTATATTGTTTGCTATTTTATTTTATTTTATTTTATTTTATTTTATTTTATTTTATTTTATTTTATTTTATTTTATTTTATTTTATTTTATTTTATTTTATTTTATTTTATTTCAGTTCATTTTGCTTATTACTTTGTTAGAGGAAAAGTATTGTTATGTACTAACGAAGCATGGAGTTCAGTTACTTCAATTATAACTTCAATAATATGAGCCATAATGCGTAAGTGGCATTGTAATGTCGTATATCTTATGCATTTTCGTCTTATCTGAACAACAATGCTCCATTCACAGTAACGGATGTGTCTGGAATCTTATAAACTTTATATATGGGTATATGTGCCTGTTATTATATTATATACAACAAAGCAGACTTGTACTTCCTACGCTTTCATCAAACAGAGCCAACTTATAAGCAGATAATTTTATTTTAATTCTCTTTTTTATTTTTTGCATTCAAACCTCCTTTTCACCGTATACGCAGTGCCACTTAGAAGTTGATCCTTTAGAATTTTACTTACTTGCTTATTTTATCCTTTTGCTCAAGCGTTTGTATTTAATACAATATATATACGAGTATGTATGTATATTTTGACTTCACAATGCACTCAAATTTGAAATTTATAATGAGCTAAATAACGGTGTATATTTTGTTGAAACTTTTCACTATGATTTAGTTGTGTGCTTGAACTTATGTTATGTAAATTTTTTTTTATAATTTTCGTGATATTTTAAACTACTTGAAACCCTTCCTCGTCCATCCACCAAACTCAGCAAACCTAGTTGTTTTATTTTTTTTGCTCTTTTTTGGCTAATGAACAAGTTTGTCGACACTTAAGCAACTTCTTTATGAGCTACTTAGTGGAACATGCGAGTTTTTATTTGGTACGAGGAGTATGCTGCGAAAACTTACACACTGCCAGCATAAATTATGTTTTTTCAAGGGCTTGAGTAGAAATATTACACTGGAAATTCACACTTGTTATAAGTTTTCATGGGAGCTTTCATTTTTTGTTTCTTCTCAAGTGATATGATGACTTCAAAGTTTACGAAAGTCTTGAAGAAGCGCACAGGCATCGCACACATATATATGTTCATATATATCATTGGGAAATAGTTATTAATATAATTATGTACATGTATATCTATACATTAATTTCTACAAACCTCCTTGGACTACGTTCTTTGCTTCTTTTCTAATAGCCTTCATCTATTTGAAAGCCAAATGATTGTAATAACTTTGCAGAGCTCAAATTTGTCGCTTGTCTTTCAAAAAAACCTTTTCCAACCAAATAGATTACAAATTTTTTAATTAACTTTAAATATTAGATTTATCTTTTCTCCCTCTCGTTAATTGCATTGTTGCCTTTTTTCATATCCAGAATTTTTCTTTTCTGTTTTAGTTTGGCTCTGATGGTTTCATCTGATAGTTTATCTTTTTAACCCGCTGATTTTATTTGCCTTAGGTTTTTCTTTGTTATTAATTATACAACGTTGCCAATTTTCTAAGCCGAATATAATAGATTATTACATTCATATCTAACCTTCTCTATTAGATGATGGCATGTCGTTTTCT